TCAACAATAATAACATAATTGGATCATATAACTATCCCTCAACATGCAACAAAGAGTCACTCCAAAGTCACTAATAGCGGAAAACAAACGAAGAGATTATGGTAGGGTACGAAACCACCTCAAAGTTATTCTTTCCAATCAATTCGTTGGGCTATTCCTATAAGTGTCACAAACAGCCCTAGAGTTCGTACTAGAATAACACCTTAAGACACAAATCAACCAAAACCCTAATGTCACCTAGATACTCCAATGTCACCTCAAGTATCCATGGGTATGATTATACGATATGCATCACACAATCTTAGATTCATCTATTCAACCAACACATAGAACCTCAAAGAGTGCCCCAAAGTTTCTACCAGAGAATCACGATGAAAACGTGTGCCAACCACTATGCATAGGTTCATGGGCGGAACCCGCAAGTTGATCACCAAAACATACATCAAGTGTTCTCAAATCTTTAAAGACTCAATCCGATAAGATAACTTCAAAGGGGAAACTCAATCCATTACAAGAGAGTAGAGGGGGAGAAGAAACATAAGATCCAACTATAATAGCAAAGCTCGCGATACATCAAGATCATGCCAAATCAAGAACACGAGAGAGAGAGATCAAACACATAGCTACTGGTACATACCCTCAGCCCCGAGGGAGAACTACTCCCTCCTCGTCATGGAGAGCATCGGGATGATGAAGATAGCCACCGAAGAGGGATTGCCCCCTCCGGCAGGGTGCCAAAACCGGTCTAGATTGGCTTTCGGTGGCTACGGAGGCTTCTGGCGGCGGAACTCCCGATCTATTGTGCTCCTCGAAGTTTTTAGGGTATATGGGTATATATGGGAGGAAGAAGTACGTCGGTGGACCTCTCGGCTGTCCGCGAGGCAGGGGGCGCGCCCAGGGGGGTGGGCGCGCCTCCCACCCTTGTGGGCAGCCCGAGACTCTCCTGGTCCATCTCTGATACTCCGTGGGCTTCTTCTGGTCCAAAAATAAGTTCCATGAAGTTTCAGGTCAATTGGACTCTGTTTGATTTTCCTTTTCTGCGATACTCTAAAACAAGGAAAAACAGAAACTGGCACTGGGCTCTAGGTTAATAGGTTAGTCCCAAAAATAATATAAAAGTGCATAATAAAGCCCACAAACATCCAAAACAGATAATATAATAGCATGGAACAATAAAAAATTATAGATACGTTGGAGACGTATCAGGGGGTAGGCGCGCCCCCCTACCTCATGGCTTCCTTGTTGGTTGCTTGACGTAGGGTCCAAGTCTCCTGGGTCTTGTTCGTTCCAAAAATCACGTTCCCGAAGATTTCATTCCGTTTGGACTCCGTTTGATATTCCTTTTCTTCGAAACCCTAAAATAGGCAAAAAACAACAATTCTGGGCTGGGCCTCCGGTTAGTAGGTTAGTCCCAAAAAAATATAAAAGTGTATAATAAAGCCCAATAATGTCCAAAACAGTAGATAATAGAGCATGGAGCATCAAAAATTATAGATACGTTGGAGACGTATCAGGCGGTGGAAAGGCGGTCCAGGGGAGCACTTGGGTCCACCATGTAGCCACCCCTGGCATTGTGTTCTAGCCGTGTGGGGCCTACAAGGGTCCCCTCTCGTGGTGCCCGGGCTCTCTAGAAGATTCTCGACTCAAAACTTTTTCTTGATTTTTTTCAGAATTTTTGGAGCTCTGTAAAATTGATTTTCTTGCAAGTCCAAAAACATGCAAAAAGCAACAACTGACATTGGACACTGAGTTAATAGGTTAGACAGAAAAATATTAAAAATTGGTACTAAAACTATGCCAAAATGATAAAATATAGCATGAAACAATAAAATATATAGAGATGTTTGAGGCTTATTAGCATGGAACTAGGGAGGAGGGGGGGGGGGGCAAGAGGAGTCATGCTCAGAGCTTGGGGAGCTTGATCTGTCTCCAACATATCTATAATTTTTAAAATATTTATGCTACATTAATATTAATTACCTCCACTTTGGGTATACTTTTTATTGGACTAATATATTAATGCATTGCACAGTGACATATCTTGTTTTAGGTGTTTTTGGAATTTTAGGAAAGTACCACAGAATAAGTTCGAGAAAAGATAAACAAATATTGGTTCTAGAATTTCATGCTAGGAGAGGACCAGAGGGCCAAGAACCAACCCCTAGTGGACCCCATGGGGTGTAGGCGTCCACCTTAGAGGGGCACCTGCGGCCCGTGGGCACCCCTAGGCTTCCTCCTATGTCCAAACCCCTCAGCTTGATTATTGATCATTTTCACCGCCGCCACATCACGCTTTTGAGGCGATCTTCGTTTTTAGCCCTGATCTGAAACTCTGGCTGAGGGAGAAGCTATCTTCATCATCACCAACCTTGATCCTTGCGCTCTAAGATGAGTTGTGTGGTAGTCCACCCCCTGGACCACGGGTTCATGACAATAGCCAAAGTTGTAATCTCTCCATTTTGATGTGTTTAGATGTTGAATACAATACCATATGAACAAATTATTAGTGAAGAATTATGTTTAACTTGATGTATTTGTAGCGGTGATGTCGATCATGTGATGAATTATTTCTTTATGTTCAGATATATGCATGCCATATTATTTGATCTATAGATATATATTTCTTTCCAGTTGCTTGTCTACTCTTGGCCAATTTAGATCGATAATTATTAGTGAAGAATTCTGCATTAGTTGAGATAAAGCTTTCAAGTAATCTACCGCATTGACATAAACTGGAAAAAAGCTTGTATAGAGTTCTTGTCCCTAAGAGTTAAGGTTTATTTGAGGGTTCAATGGAATCCCATAAACACAAGAATATGCAATCTCGCTCGAAGCAATTACGCGTGTTCACACTTGATGTCCAGATGGTGCAGAGGGATCTCAATCTATGGACGAGCTATTTAACTATAAGATGCATCGGTCTGATTGTATTACAGATGAACTGCCTATGTAGAATAACATATTCATATGTCTGGCATGAGCATGAAACATTTCATTGTGCTTTCACATGATTATGTTAATTACCACACTTTCATGCTTTGGAGAGTTAAACTTACAATTGGTGAACCTATGAACCTTGGTGTAGTTTTTAGCATAAGAATTACTACCTTCTAACAACTTTTACATGCTGTTTCCCTTTTTTTATTCTAAAAATACAAAAATACTATCTACTACCCAATCTTTTAACTGCCTTCTGCAACTAGTAAGACTAGTAAGGGTTGCCAACCCTTGTTAGACCTTTCCGGGACACAAGCAAAGTTTTATTTGTGTTGCAGAAAATTCAACTGTTGCAGGATACCGATGCCTCGATGGATTGATATATTGGTTTCTCACTAAGAGAAAGCTTGATGCGTACTACAAACTCCCACATTGGGGATCCCAACAAAAAATATCATTGTTAGTAGCAGTCAACCTTTCTAGCGCCATTGTCGGAGAGGTACATTTTTTTTGCAATAGGCTTTGCATCACCTTTATTATCTTCCTTGTTTTATATCTCGCCTAATTGTAGTTTGTTATCCTTGTTAGTGCCTTTAGTTTTGCAAAGTTATCGAAAACTCCATTTTTTTTACATTTTCAGCCCCTAGTTACTTTTCTTGCTGACCATGTTTCCTCTTGGGATGGGTTCTAAGAAGGTTAGAGTAGGTGACGGAGACTTGATATGAAGAACGAATATAGAGTGCTTACTTTCTTATGTTTGGTTCCTTAAGAAAGAGAGAAACATATTGCAAAGTTCTACAAGCTTTGGACATTCTATATTCATGGGACTATGAGGTAATGGGTAATCGGGGAACTAGAGGCAAAGTTTCTTATGAAAAAGAAAAAGTTATTATGATAATTGAGGAACTAGAGGCAAAGTTCTACAAGCGCTCCATGGATTCTCTTTATAGAGATATTTTCATATCTACTAGGCACTATGAGGTAATGGGTAAGGCAAGGAATTTGTTGCCAGCAACAGAATCCGAAGTGGGGATCAGGTGCTCAAGAGACATGGCCTAGAGGACGGCACTTGCATTTGGTGCGGCCTCAATGAAAATTGTGACCACATATTCTTTTGATGTATAGTGGCCAAATTTGTATGGAGTGTGATCCGAGACACACCACGGGTTGCTTGTGGAATCCGGCTAGGTTTGCTGAATTCCATAAACTTATGCAAGGGATCCACAAAAACGATAGAAAAATTTATTGGGTGGGATTTTTTGCATTAGTATGGCCACTTTGGAATGCTGAAAACCAATGGAAGGTCTTGAATTCAAGCATCCGACCGATCTTGTGTATTAAGTTGTTGTCCTTCTACAGTTTTAGAGAGCATTTGGGAAACAACAAGACTGGCCACAACATGATCGTCTTGTCAGCAATCTTTGTGCAAAGTGTCAAGCTCTTCGTGCCGCATCGAGACGGGACAATGTAGGCCAGGGAAGCCATCATGTGATCGTCTTCTTCCATTCAGGGACTCTCCGTGGGCGACCCACGTTATTTCCTAGGCCTAGTGTCTAGCTTGCAAGCGATGCGCCACTTTGTTCGGACACTTGTGATCTTGTATGTTTTGGTTCACTTTACTTTGCACTCATTCTGTAAGGGCCTTAGTTTATTGGCGAGCAAGCCCCTCTCTTTTTAAAAAAAAGGCTACTCCACCTTGTGGGGCTTGTCCTCTACAATTTTGTTGTCAAATACTTCCCACAAAAGATAAAATAAAAATCGTTGTCGAATACAAGAAAGCACAATTAAGTGCGAACAATGAAGTTAGACACGAAGACTTTAGAGAATCTTGGTGTAGCTTTCAATTTGCTCAGGATATTTGTCATTTGTGCTTGCTTCAATTTCACTTGTTGATAGTACGATCAATGTTCTTGAAGAAAGAAACCTTAATTTATTAGATTTGTTATTACTAACAAAATACAAGTGTTTTTCTTTGTAGGCTTAACTAAACTACAAATTCAAGCAACTAGCACGTGAGGCTATGGTTTTCTCCCGGTCGAGGAACGTGAGGCTAGTCCCTCGGGCTAGTACGGGAGCTGGTGCGCGCAGTCGAGGTTGGGCCCGACGTCGACGCCGAGGACCTGGCAGTACCGCCGGTAGAAGCCGATCCGGTTGTTGACCCGCGCGTCCTCGGTGATGTTGCACTCGAGGCCGCCGTTGACGATGTTGGTGACCAGCCCGAACCCGGCCGTGCGGTTCGCGGCGACGTCGGCCCGGCTGGGGCAGTACTCGCCGACCATCACCTGGTGGCACGACGGCTTGGCCTCCCTGGGCGTCATCCAGAACCACAGCGCCGTCTGGTACGCCGTGTCGGAGCAGTTGGCCACCAGCTCCGGGTACCGCAGCCCGTCGAACCCCAGCGCCTGCCCCGCCGGCCCGTAGTTGAAGTTCCTGTTCATCAGCCGGCCAGAGGTCAGAGATCAGCACGTGTGCCGGCGCCATGGGTGAAATTTGCAGGTAGACTCGGGGGATTTATCAGTACCATGAGATTTGGATGGGGCCTCGGCCGTGGTAGGACTTGCCGGGGTAGCAGGGCCACTGCTTGTCGGTGGCGTCGCAGTAGTTGCTCTGCGGCCTGATCTCCTCCTTGTAGCACAGGCCCCAGGAGTAGGGGCCGTCCGGCGCGGTGGCCCAGCCGCCGGTCGTCTCATGGGAGATCTGCGCGAGGAAGGCGGCGATCTCGCGCTTGCGCGTCACGAGGTCGCCGGTGGCGCCGAACCTGGGGAACTTCTTGGTGGCCCGGATGAAGGACGCGTAGGTGTAGAACCCCTTGGCGGGGCAGACGGCGTCGTCCTTGTGCAGGAACAGGGACGAGTAGAGCTGCTCGGTGACGATCGCCCCCACCGGGCCGCACTGCCCGGCGGCGCCGTACCGCGCGCCCGCCACGGCCGCGGCGGCCGAGAACACGGCGACGGCGAGGAGGAAGCGGAGCTCGCGAGCCTGAGATGCCATTGCTGGAGTGAGTGCTTATTGGCTGCTTGCTCGGCATGAGGACACGCGTGCGCATTATATATCCGCTGGCTCTACCGGTGGAGGGGCGTGAGGACACGGGGATGGGACAACGGCGGCCGGCAGTGGTGTGGTGGGTGGGGGCGACGCATGCAGCTAGTGGCGCGGCCGTCGACCGCGCCACCATCGGTTGACTTGATCTTGATCATGTCAGCGCAAGGCAGAGGATAGTGCGAGCCGGTCTGGGCCTCGCTCTCGATCACCACCGGGACGTGTAACAGAAGCAAGCGGAGCGCCCATGCCGCAGCTCTTGCCTGCACAGGCCATGCAGGCAGGCTGAGTAAAGAAAGGAGCGAGAGGAAGAGGAAGAGGTCGTAACGGCGACGGCACAGTGGTCGTCTGACCAAGAAACGGCCATGGATGGGCGTCCAAGCAACAAACGTTATTACATGGGGGACGGACTGCGTCCTATTTGTTCCTAGTTGAATTGGCAAGTGGAGCTATACAAATCCAGAAGATTCAGCTATAGCTTATGGATTGTAAGTGGAGCTGTGGTGCGTCCAAGCATTACATGCCGGAAATTGGGAAATCATTGCAGCAAATAGGAAGACCATTCAGCATGGATGCGGGAGCGCAGGGCATCTAATCTAAACCAGGTCAGCAGCTTACATGATGAGTGGAGTTCGTTGGCGCAATACGACCGGTTAGTGCTGCAATATAATGCGTCTGTTCTTTTCTCGAAGGAGGTGAGCATGCGTGTCTGTTAGAGCAAGCGTTGACTGCTATAGAGTGGAAGATATGTGCACGGCCTGCAAATCACGGCCGACCTTTATTTTTTCATCTTCCTTTCACCTTTCCCCCCCTACAAAAATCAGTATATATTAATGTGAAGATGGTGACCTCCGAATGTGACGTTCTTGAGTAATAGGCTGCATAGTTTTTCCATCCAAAAAGGAAAATGGTACCGATTACATCCGGCCTCAACAACAATACAATATCAAGATCTTTCTTTTTGCGAGAAAACAATATCAAGATCTAATCAAGGGCAGGCTCTAAGTTTCGGAAGGCCCTTGGGCAGAGTCAGACGGCATGGTTCCTTAAGAGCATCTACAGCTGGGTGCTCCAAACCCATCTCAAACGTCCGGACGGACACCCTGTTCACTGACCGGTCACAAAAAAGCGACCCAGACGAACGTCTCAAACGGGTCTCAAATATCCGGAGCCCCGGACTGACCGGCACCCCTCATATCCCCTCAAATTTGGGGAGGATATAGCAATGCCCGGGCGCGTCCGCCATATCAGATAGGGTCTCATAGGAAAACACTCTGAAACCTAGCGGTCCAAAGCTCGTCTCCTTCGTCGGACCGATGTCACCGCTCCGGCAGGCCACGTAGTGCCCTAGCCTGGCTATTTAAGCCGACCGTCGGCACAAAAACCCTAATTGTCCATACCTCACCCCTCCCGTCCGTCGCCGCACTTTCCAATCACCGTCCGCCACCACTAGTAGCCATGCCCCCACCCTGCCGGGTAACGAGCTACCCATATCTAACACAGGAGCGCCGACTGCAACTCCTTGAGCAAATCCGGATAAGGCGCGTAGCCCGGTTCGCTGTGGGGCTACCTCCGGAGGCGGTCGATCCCGAGGAGGACTTGGAGGTGGTGGAGGAGGAGGTTGACGAGGAGGAGGAGGAGGAAGAGGTTGACAAGGAGGAGGAGGAGGAGGATGTGGGGGATGTTGGGGACACGGATCTGCAGGTGGAGCAGCATGCATCCTCGATTCCCTCTTGTCGGAATCGGAGGCAGAGGCCAAACGCCGTCGTCGGCAAGAGGCGGAGCACGCCGTGGAAGCCGACGCGATGCTCGCATATATGGATGATGATGAGGAGGAGCCGGAACCCTCCTATGCGCCCATCTACCCGGCGGCCGGCACCGACGTCATGGACATCTCCGACGACGAAGCGTAGTAGGTAGCGTGTCGTAATACATAGGTTTGTTTTGCATGGTTCGTATGGATCTAGGGGATGAAATATGAGAGACTCGGATGCATAGCACCATGTATGAGGAGTGGTCGGTCACTGTCCGCGGACGCACTCGGTCGCGTCCGTGGGCGTCCAAGAGGTCGGATTTGCCAAGTCCGGCTGTAGATACTCTAAGGCTATATATATACTTATTGGCTATATATGATTTTGTGAGTGAGAGCGTAGGTTTCAGTTGCAAAGTATTAAGATTTAAGAGTTGACTTTGAACCAGACATTCTTAGTTTGAGACTCCAATAGTGATATTGAGCAGCGTTATATTACTGCAGAATGAATAAACAATGATAAATGGGAACTAGTGTGATTACCTCAAGTAAGAACAAATATAGTGACTCCATCAACAATAATGCTTCAGTGCTTAAAAAAGCGCTTGGGGGGCATTCTTGATGCAAAGCCACTAAGAACAATGTCGAGATCAATTTCATGACATCAACATTGCTTCAAGATAAAAATAAGTCATTTAAAGCACCCTTTTGTGATTCAATAAACCGATTTCCACGTTTTATTTTTTGCCTTTTGGGGGATCCAACAAATGCTTCCTAGGTAACATTGTAAGTCATATGAACTAAAATCATGAAAATAGATGAATACATATAGAATTATAAATTTATAAATTAGGAACCTAACAATCCGATATCATGTAGACTAAGGATAGAATTGGGGATGGATGAATCATATAAATACTTGTGAAAGATCAAGATGACGACAAACTTGCATGGTTGCGGATGTGAGCCGCCTTCGACTAAGGCGCAGGTGGCAATTACGCAAGATCAAGCTGCGGGTGGCAGCCGACGGCAGGACTCGAGTCACGACTAGCGTGCGAGGAGCTATTAGGTAAAACCCGTTCCACGCTTGATGTGCCGGTTAATGTGTTAATCATGCATGGTGCACACACCGTCAATTTGCTACTCCATGTGTTTTAAATTATAAGTTGTTCTAATGTTTTTCTCCTGAAACGGGTGTATATAGACATGTTTTAGTGTGTTTGCTCACTCATTTCAGTCCATATGTAGTCTATTTTTCAATCTTTTAAACATCTTACAAGTTGATGATGTTGTTGCTCTATTCATCCATCCATCTTGGGCTGATCTTAATGTGATACACGAGATTTTGGAAGTCTTTGGTGGAGCCACTGGATTGAGGGTGAACTATACTAAATCGACAGCCACCTTAATCCAAGGAGTCCGCAAGATAAAGACAGAATCAGGGATGTATTACAGTGCACGTTGGCTGACTTCCCGTGTGGATATCTGGGCCTGCACCTTGCGATCAAAAAGCTCACCAAAGTGCATTGGCGGCCCTTGCTTTATATGGTCAGATAGTTCATCCCCGCTTGGCAAATATGATTTATTCAACACTCTAGAAGGCTCGTGCTCGTCAAATCCGTCATTGCATCGAGGGAACTCCATCAATTACTAGTCATGGATGCACCTGCATGGGTCTTCGAGGACATAAACAGCTGGATGAGGTCTTTCTTTTGGGCTGGGAAACAGCTGGATGGGGTCTTTCTTTTGGGCTGGGAAACAGCTGGATGAGGTCTTTCTTTTGGGCTGAGAAAGAGAAGACTAATGGAGGGCAATGTTTGGTAGCTTGGGGCACCATATGTCGCCCTCTCTGCTTTGGTTGGCTTGGGATCAAGAACTTGAAGCTTCAGGCGCTTGCACTCATGGTCCGCTGGGAGTGGTTGCGACGCACTTAGACGAAGAGGCCCTGGCCAGGGCTTGCTCTCATGATCGACACTGATGCTAGGCTTGTCTTCGACAACCTAGTCAACATTAAGGCGGGAAGAGGGGATGAAGTGTTGTTTTGGAGATCATTGGATCCATGGATTTGCAATCAAGGACATTACCTCTCTGATCGTTGCTCTTGCGGATACTCGCACCGTCAATCACCGTTATGTGCAACAAGAAATGACTGGAGAAGCTTGGATTCAAGACATACAATCCATGTTCTCCTTCACGACGCAACTACAACTCATGCATCTTAGGCATGCCATTGCCATAGTCCAGACAAATTGCAACATGTCAGACGTCTTCTCTTGGCCTCGTGCGGCAACATATTTGTACTCGGCCAAGTCGACCTATGCCCGGCTATGCCTTGGACTGACGCGCTCTCCTTATGCTACATCAATTTGGAGAAGTTGGGTGCCCCTCAAGTGCAAGATATTTGCCTAGGATGTGGACCACGGATCGGTGCGCTAAACATGGATTGCAAGATGAAGCTTCAGCCAGCTATATGTGCCTTCAAGACGAAGACAACGTAGATCATATCCTCGGTTGGTGTACGCACGCGAGAGGAACCTGGCACTACTGGCTCGACACTTTGAAGCTACCTATTCTAGGACTGGATGTGACAAAAACTTTCTTCGAGTGGTGGACGCAGCAGAGACATAGATTCAACAAGGGGGAGAGAAG